GTTTTTGTTCCGTTTTCTTGTTCCGCTCTTGGAACATTGAAAACGGAGATAAAACGAGACTTGGAAACAACAAAAAACGGCGCCGCGGGGGAGCGATAACGGAAGAACAACTACAACAAAACTAAAAAACGGCGCCCTCCAGAACCTTTCGAGGCCCCCGAAACGGGGAAAAAAAAACAAACAAAAAAAAAACAAAACAAAAAAAAAAAAATAAAAAAAAAACGGATTGCTTTTCAATTTGCCCGAGTCCGTAGCCCGAGTTTCGGCCGTGTTCGCAGGGGGCTGCGGGGGCGCATGCTTACTTATGGCACGCTTATTGATGGCGCGCTTGTTGAGTCTCGCCGTCCACTCGCATCCACTCCTAAAATAGAATGGAGAAATGATTTTCTTTTCAGGGGGCGGGCAAACTCTTTGATGGCCGTCCTGGTCACGCTTTGCTTGGTGTGCGCCGCCATCCCGAGCCCACGGCCCCTGCTGGCAGGCACCCTTAAACGAGACGGCTGCGTCGGGGGCAGCGGTTGCCATCAAGGGGGAGTTAATGGGGGCCGGCTTGCACGTGAGCTGAAAACGTACCGGAAACGCATTGAAAACTGATAACGGAGCGGGCAGGGGGGGGGGGGGAAGCCACGGTGAGCTGAAAACGGGAAAAAACAGCTGACTAAATCCCGCCCGACGCAGCCGTCTCAGTCAAGGGTGCGCAGGGCACGTGGGCTCGGGATGGCGGCGCACACAAAGCAAAGTGTGACCAGGACGGGTAGCGCCTCTTCCGCCCCGCGTGCCTCCTCCAACAGCGACTGAAAGATGTGAGCGGCCCCTCGGTCGCTGGTCGCTTGCGCGACGCGATTGGCAATTTAGGGAGAGACGACAACGGGGAAAGACAAAAACGGCACGCCGAAAGCATAAAAAAGAACTGCACGACAACGGCAGCAGTAACGACAGCGGGAACTAACAAAACAACGCTGCTGCATTTCACGAAAACGGAAATAAAACGGAGCCGAAAACGGATATAAAACGTGCAAGCTCAAAACGGGGGGGGGGAAAACGCCCTGACTGTTTCGAAAGACACCTAAGGCTGAGCCCCGCTTGTGATGCATTCACCTCCCGACCTTTCCGAGACGCCGTCTCGCTCTCTCTCCCTCTCTCTGTTCCTCCTCCTCATCCTCCCTCCTCCCTACTCCCTACGAACTCCCTCCTCCAGGGGGGAGTATGGAGAGTCCTCCATCCTCTACATCCCGCCCTCCCATCATCCCTCCTCCCTCCTCCCTCCTCTTTACCTCTCTTCCGTACAAATAATTCACCCTCGTCGCTGGACACGTTCTTGGAATTACTCAGATCTTCCTCTTCCTCCCACTCCTCTTCCTCATACGTCTTATCATCATCGCCAGATTCCCAGAGCATCGTCTCCTCCGCCTCCTCCTCCTCCTCCTCCTCCTCCTCCTCCTCCTCCTCCTCCTCCTCCGCATCATGCTCGTCCTCGGTTTCTATTATTTCGGGTGTGGCCTCGTCGACACGGCCGAAAGCGTTTCAGAATCCTAGTCGGAACGGCGCCTGCCCATCTGCGTCATAGATTCTGCGTGCAGAGCTGCAAAGGCGAAGTGCTTCTTGAGAAACGTGTGCGGGCCAGGAAGTGTTGGCAACTCTCATGATGAATACTCATCGCTGTCGTCGCTCTGGCCTACAGTCAAGGCGCTGACCTAAGGAAGCCGAAATAAGAAACGAGGCCCATTTGTTTCCAGAAGTTCAACTTCGGTTTCCCATCGAAAACCGAAGGAAAACATGAGGCAAGCTGGGAAACAATTAAGGAACACGGAGCCCCTCCCCAACGAAAAGCGTTCCTTCTTCAGCGCCCCGACTGTACTTCGCATACAACGGAGGAGGGATGAGCGACGAAGGAGCGAGGAGGGAGTGACCGAGGACAGGGAATGCAACGAGGGAGGGGGGGGGGAGGGAGGAGGCTGGAGGGCGAGGAGGGAGGGGAGCAGCGAGAACTGGGAGACGAGAGAAGAGGACGGACAAAGGAGGCACTCGCTTGGGGTTGACGTCGGCCCTGCGAATGCACACCGTCAGCAAGCGAACCACATTGGAAAACGTAATAGCATGCGGGGTGATCGCGGTGTGCTCGGGCACCAGGCCGCCTCGCGAACGCTTCGGGCAGCCGCCAAGAATCCCCCAAGACAACTCATCACGGCCCCAACAGCGCCCATCCTCGTAGGTGTTCTCTTATTCCCAGGCCTCCCCATCATCATCGCGACCGCAACCAGCACCGCAACCATGAGCAGCATAATCATCGGCACAAGCATCATCCCAAGCATCATCATCATCATCATCATCATCATCATCATCATCATCATCATCATCATCATCATCATCATCATCATCATCAGCAGCAGCAGCAGCAGCAGCATCAGCATCAGCATCATCATCACAAGCAACAACATCATCATCATGATCACCATCATCACCACCATCACCATCATCACACTCATCATCACATCATCACTAGCATCATCATCATCATCATCATCAGCATCATCATCATCATCATGAGCATGATCATAATCAGCAGCAGCAGCATCATCATAGTATCATCCGTATCAGCATCCGCATCATCATCAGCAAAATCAGCATCAGCCTCAGCAACATCAACAACAACGTCAGCATCGTCATCATCAACATCATGTTCATCATCAGCAGCATCTGAATCGCCATCGTCATCGTCATTGTCATCGTCATTGTCGTTATCGGCGTCGTCGTCGTCAGCATCATCAGTATCGCCATCGTCACCACCCTCGTCATAATCAGCATCATCATACTCATAATCAGCGTGATCATCAACGCCCACATCATCATCACCAACGTCAACGTCACCGTCTACGCCAACGTCAACGTCATTAGCATCATGATCATCAAAACCATAATCAGAATCAGCATCAGCATCATCATCATCAGCATCAGCATGATTATCACCGTCAGCATGATCATCATCATCATCATCGCCATCATCTTTCTCATCCTCATCCTCATCCTTATCATCTTCCTCGTCATCGTCAACGTCGTCAATACCATTATCATAATGAGCAGCATCATCGTGATTAGCAGCATCATCATCATCATCATCATCAGCATCGTCATCATCATCGTCATCGGCATCATCAACAGCATCGTTATCATCACCATCACGATAATCACCATCATCATCAACACCATCAACATCAGCATCATCATCAACATCATCATCATCATCATCGTTGACATCATCTTGGTCGTCATCCTCAGCATCATCATCACCACCATCAGAATCATCATCATCAAATCACTGTTATCATACTCATCATAATCATCATCGCGATCGACGCCACCATCGCCATCATCGTCAAAATCGAAAAAGTCATCGCCGCATAACCACCTCCATCACCATCGTCTTCACAATGACCGCCAACAGCATCATCATAAGCTCACCGCTCCTTGTCACCTCCTTCAGAAGAGCCATAACCACCACCACCGTCATAGCAGCCATTACACAAAAAAAAAAAACAATCAGTGGATGGTTTGAAATGAGATCGATAAACAAATCGATAAGGAGATCGACCGGGAACCCGGAAACCCGGGAACCCGGAACCCACCGAAATCGGCCTGGAACCAATGACGAAGAACCCGGGAACCCAGAACCGAGAACCCCGGAACCCAGCCTGCCACCAAAATCGGCGGGAAACTTTCGCCAAATCTGTCAATTTCTGCGAGGAACGCTTCAGTACAAGCACTGATTGGGGAATCACCCTTACAGCCTCAAGACGGCCCCAAGAGCACACGTGGCGGCCTACAGACGGCCCAAGGACAGCCAAGGACGGCCCAACGTGCCCCGACGAGCTCCCGAACCCCACAATGTCCCACGAGGACCCACACAGCGCCCAAGAATGAAGGGGCCCAGGGACACGCAAATGAATACATACAAATCCCAGGGTTCCGCATAGTTCCTTATATTTTTGGGATGTTTCGTCTTCCACCTCACTTCCCATATTTTCCCATATGTTCTAAGGAATGTTTTCGAACTTATAGACACTTAATTGTGTCTATATGGTGTTCCTCTCCTGAAGGAAGAGCACAGAGAGGATTCTAAGGAGGCCCCACGAAACGAACAACAGTGAAGTCGTGTTGGAAATGAATGTGTGGTGCGCCCAAAGCTTCTCGGCGTCGGTCAGCCTTCGGCTAAAAATCCAGGGATTGTCAGGAAATAATCCAAAAAGGCTACCCAAAAAACCGCGCCAACAGGGCCCGAGGCCCCAAGAGGCCGCCCGAGAACCCTGCAAGACGGCCAAAGAGAACTCCAGGACGACCCCTAGGACCGCCCATCATCGTCATCATCATCATCATCATCATCATCATCATCGTCATCATCATCATCATCATCAGCAGCATCATCAGCATCAGCATCGTGATCATCCTCATCATCATCAACATCATCAGCAGCATCACCATCATCATCAGCATCATCATCAACCAAGTAATCCCCATAATTTTCCTCGTCATTATCATCAACATCATCATCATCATCAGCATCATCAGCATCATCATCATCATCCTCATCATCCTCATCATCAGCATCGTCATCCTCATTGTCATCATCATCAGCATCATAATCAGCATCGCCATCATCATCATCATCATCATCAGCATCATCATCATCAGCATCATCAGTATCATCAACATCATCATCAACATCATGATCCTCACCATCATCATCATCGACGACATTCCCAGTGTGGCCCCACCGACCGTCCTCGAGAGGGCTTGGCAGCACCACCGCGCCCAAGATCCGCCCGACGGGCCTGCCCACTGGGCCCCCGAAGGGGCCCCCACGGAGGCCCCGAAGAAGCGCCCCAGATTTAGGTCGTGCCTGTCTCTCTACAGGAGGAAGATTCAAAAATAATAAAAAATAGCCTGGGAATGATTTTTCTACAATGTTCTACTATTTCCAATTTGTCGCCCGAAATCCGCCTGTA